AATTAAGCATCCTATTCAGAGGCTGCATTGCTGGTTCCTCGCTGCTTTCTTTAGCCAGAGCTTCCATTCAGGATTTAGCCCATCTGCAAAGGGACTCTACAGCTGTCTTTCTTCATTTCTTCCCCCCACCTCCTGCAGGAGAAACCAAATACAGGTGACATTAGTTTGGGGTTTCATTTTTTAAGCTCTTCTCTATACCGGCCCTGTGAAGTAGAGTAGTATTTTCCTAATTTTAGAGAATGGGAACTGAGGCACAGCAGATGACTTGGCCAAGGCCCCTCAGGGTAGCTCAGCTGAATTGCACCCAGTTTGAGTCCCTGCCTATATGGGTGTTTAAAGAGCAAGAGACCAGGGTCAGCATTATTTCTTACAGGAAACTGCCAAAAAAGTGCTGCCCTGTGAAAAGGAGCAGACAGGGAAAACAGCTAAAGGTCTTTCTGTGCGTGCTCAGTCAGCAAATACCTCGCTGCAAGACATGAGCCTGTGAGCGCAGTTGTTCCTTTCTGCTCTCTTCAGAGAACTCTCTTACCTATTTACTCTCACATGGAAACATGTGAGTGGGAGGCCAGAAGTGCTCGACTCATTTGCGGCAATTCTCCAGTTCAGCAGCTAGGTTTTCTCCCTGAGGCGGTGTAATGTGACAGAAAGGAAGCTTCTGAAAGCATTTCTTCATCCTCCGGATTGCAGTCTGTCACTGCTGCTGCAGAAGTGACACACCTGCCTGCCACCGCCTGCAGCTCTTTGGGTTGCTGGAGGGTGAACGGGGAAGGCAGGAACTTCTTCCTCTCCACCCTGAAATCCCCTTGTTTCGGGCTTTTTTGCTCTGCCAGTACTTGGACATGACTAATGCAGCCATTGCTGTGCTGGCTTGGCAACCCTTGCAAATGGGATTTCAGACTCGGGACAAGTGGAGCACGGCTCGCTGTGCACGTAGCAGTGTCCCCACAAACTCCTGGATGCTGATCCAGAAAAGAAAGTCAAGAAGGTGCAATCTCCACCAAGCCTTTGTGAGTCTTGCTGTGGTAGCAGCCAGCACAGGGAAGGAGTACAGTGTTTAATAACAACTGTGGCACAGGTGCCTATTTATTTACTCTTCTATTTCAGGACAGCAAAGCCCTGTCACCGCAGACTAACCTGCAGCTGACACAGTGAGAAATGGAAAACACTCTCTTGTATCCTCCATCACATAAACAATTAGTTGTCTTTGCACTAAACTAATTTTTAAGCAGTTGCTGCTTTTTATGGAGAAAAAAAAAAAACAAAAACCAAAACCAAAACAACAAAAGAACAAAAGAACAGATCAAATCAAAACAAAAAACAACCCAAAAATTAGTATGGTTAAATAATGTTGGGTTTTTTTTGGAGGATAGCACTCCTCACAAAAAGACTTCTACTATACAGCTCTTGAACACTGTAACACAAAATTATTCTTATTTTAATATCTGCCCCTGTTTTTACTCCTATTTTGCATGTAGATGGTAACTGTTCTTCAGCAAAATAAGATGTAGGTGAGGGGGAAAGCATCAGGATTTGGTTCCTAAAGAGCCGAGCACTCAGAGGTTTATAACGAGAGCTTGTAGCACTTTATGCCACACGAGAAACACTGCTGTGAGATTTATCAAAGAATGTATCATGAGTTGGGCTATTTAGGGACTGAAATTACATAGGAAGGATCAGCAAGAGCGATGTGTGCTCAGGACAAGCGCAGTCGCAATTAATGCTAAATATAAGGTGTCATATCTTTATCTAATGCACAGCCTGCACTGCCTCGCAAAGGAAAGTTAAGCAATTAGGCCCAAATAACCAGATTATACGTGGGAGGTGTTTGAAGACAGATTTAAAACACTGTAATAGGGTTGGGGGAGGGTTACAACAAGAGGTAATATTTCCTGATAGGTTAGTTTACATCCTTTGGAAAACGTTCTGGAACCGGACCAAAGAGTAAGCAAGGCCTTACCTGGGCCTTGGCCTGGGACGACACCCAAACAGAGGCGAAAAGTGAGGAGAACCAACCCTGCCATGCACAGGCAGCCCCTCCAGCAGGTAATCCCCGGGAACAAAACAAACCCAGTGACAGACAGCCTCCTTCTGCGTGGATTTGCAGCTGCCTCAGCGCAATTCAAAGTCAGCCTTCCCCTTTCCTGTTTCCCTTGAGCCAGTGCTAAGGGCAGAGAGGAAAACCTGTGCCTAAACAATAATGAGTCTGTTTTGGAGTGGAAACTGGAATTCACTCCTTGATCCCAGGGAGACAGGGGCAGGTGCAAGACTTTTCCCCACTCGGCCTGACAAGTTTCTTCTTCTCTGGTCCTGAAGGGTTGGATTGACTCTGTGGCAGAGAGGGCAGTGTGTTTGCACAGCTCTTTTTACTCCTCTGAGGTGAGGCTGTCAGCTGGAGGATCGGGGGAAATCAAAAGGAACTGAATCATCTGGCCTTATAAAAAGTCCAGATCAGGAAAAGACTTGGTTGGAATGCACTGATGTGAGAATGGGGAGGGGGGGATGAGATGGGACACGTACTTGCTTTGGGAAGGGGTCTCTCTCAGCTCCTGCAAAGCTCCTCGCCCCTATTTATTCTATCAACACACAGACGACATTTTGTCTTCTGGTGTGAGGTGGGGGTTAAACATTTCATCACAACAAAGTGAAAATAATCTCTGCTGCCTTTACTTGGATGTGGGAAATATTCACTTGCTTTTAAATACAAAACTGTACATATATTTGTGAACCAACTGTTGCTTTCATGTGGGAGCCTTAGGTGAACACAAAAGACTACATTGTGCAGCTACACAATGTGCAAATGAACAGAGCATCCAGGATTAAAGAAATTTTATTTAGCCCCACATGAAACAGAAGAGCTGATGGCAGCCTCTGGTACAGAAAAAAAAATACAACCAACAAGTAATTTAGTGAGGATTGGAACTAAGAAAGTCACATCTCCTGTATATTTGTATATTGTGGTTGATTGACCATGGTGCCTAAGATGGCAAAAAATTAATTTGAAACTCTTCCTACAGATCAAGCATTTATTAGCATTCTCAATTTTATGGAATATCTGAAATCTAATAAGGCATGAACCCACATTTTAACTTGCACTGTCGGGGACTGTGATAGAGTCTCTTTTTGCTATCAGGCCTGTTATTTTTCATAAAATCTGTAGGGATGTAATTACACTTCTGCCAAACTTGTTTGAAATCAGACAGTGGGCTCAAAAGTTTATTAGAGACATGGACAGACAGGCAGACAGGCACAGACACCATGACCATGTAAGTCTCATTTCCATCAGAAATAAGGCTAAAAGAACTTACATGGAAATTAATTTTTAAAGGAGACTTGATAGGCAGAGGAGCAGACCTTTGCAAAGTGTAATTTCAAATTTTAAGTGAATTTCATGCTAGGAAAAGCTTTTGAAGACAGACTGGAATACTAAAAGTATCTCTTTTACCTAAAGGAGAGGAACAGCACAGGATGAGCTGTGGTGGCCCACCAGATCCTTGTATTTTTATACGAACTCACACTGAGGGCAGGTGATTTCTTAGAGAGAGGAAACAAAAAGAGCAGCTTCAGAAGCTCTGTCCCCTATAGCTTTTTCTGCATGTGAGCACTTAGGGCTAATCACAGATGTAAAGCACTGTAAATGCCTCTGAATGTTTGTATTTCACCACTGCCTTTGACTTTGTTTGTATTTCACCACTGCCTTTGACTTTGTCCTTGTTTCCTTGTTCATTCCCTGCCAGCTCTGTCCCTGGGCTGCAGTGGGGAAGTCCTGCTTTTTATCCTTGTGTATGCAATCCGCAGTGGGGCTGGAATCTTGATTAGGGCCCCTAGCAACGATCACACACCTCCCAAAAATCGTAATTTAACATTACAGCCCCCAGTCTCGGTGGGATATGTGTGGCTATTTATTCATGCTCCCAGCCAGAGACTGGAAGCAGGGCTGTTTCACTCCCAGCTCTGACACCAGCCAGCTGGGCGGCCTCTGGCACATCACTCTGTCATCTTCCCCTCTGTAAGCTGGGTACCCCACACCATCTGCTTTTCTGGAGTTGCCGAGCTGCCAGAGGATTCAGAGAGGGCTGGCTACCAACTCCCTGTGCCACGGTGCACTGCTCACCTCCCTGGCCCCAGTTGTGTCCCCCTCTTCCTCAGGTGGCTGCCAAGTCTGAAAAAAGGGGGACAAAAAGTCTTAAATAGACTTTTGCATTTGCACCCCAAAATACACCTGGGGTCCAGGCCTGGTTCTCCTCCAAGAAATGCAGTCAGGACACTGGTGGCAGCCACGCCAGGGTGTTGTCCCAAATCTGGATTCTTTCACCCAGCGGGGAAGCTGATCCACAGACAGAGTTGAGATACTCAATTTTATTTCATGTTTGCACAGAGATGGGTGCGAAGTGGTAAATCCACAAAGCTAGGAAGCGTATTTATACATACATACACAATGTATACATATGCAAACATATTTATACAATCCAATTCAGGCAGCATTTGCATAATGAATCTACATCACTACCTGGCTCAGCTACTACCGCCTTCTCTTTCCCCACCTCGGTTTAAAGGCACAGGGTATTCCAAATTCATGTGTTCAGTGGGTGACGGTGTTCCCTCGGAGGTGCAGTCCTCCCATTTCAATGCACCAAACTCACTCTTAGGATACAATTTCACAAGTTAGTTTAAGATTTCTATCCCACATCCCTCGAAGCTGGTTTAGGCCGCCACATAACCAGCCTCTTCCCTTTATCTTACATCGCATCCTGCATCTCTTAGGTCAGGTTGTTCTCCTTTTTGCAGAAATTGTTCTCCCCGCAACCCGTGGCCCCATCCCCGGGGGTCACGCAGGAGTCTGGGAGAGGGGCCTGGCGGCGGGGACAGCCGTGTCCGCAGGGCCCGGGGGAGCGGCCGCCCCACCCGTCGGGGCGGGCTCGGGCAAGCCAGGTGAGGCGGTCCCGGCCTGCCTCTCCCTCCTGCCGCAGCCTCCTGCCCTCGCTCCCGGCCGGCGCTGCGCTGGGGCTGCCGGCGGCATGGCGGAGTCCCAGGTGCTGCTGCTGGACGAGCTGCACGTCAACGAGAAGGTGACAGAGGCCCAGGCCCGCTTCTACTACAGCGAGGAGCAGCGCCGAGCCCTGGAGGCGCTGGTGACCCGCGGCGAGGCCGCGTACCGGGAGGCGCTGAGGAAGGAGCAGCTCCGCGATTTCCTGTCCGGCCGGGAGCTGCAGGACCTGCGGGGCGGCTGGCGGGGCTACGACGACCCCCGGGAGGGCGGCAAGGTGGCGCGGGGGCCCGGCGGCGAGACTCTCTCGCTGGCCTACTGGCCCGAGTGCTCGGACACCGAGGTGCCCCCGCTGGACTTGGGCTGGACCGACAAGACGTTCTACCGTGGCATCAGCCGGGTGTCCCTCTTCACGCACCCGCGCAAGGAGGAGAGCGCGCCGCACCTGAAGGAGGTGGTGCGGGAGATGATCCAGCAGGCGCAGAAGGTACGGACGGGCCCTGGACGGGCCAGCCCTGCCCGCCCTCACCCGGGCCGAGGGTCTGCCTCGGGGCACGGGGTGCAAGGCGGGCGAGAGCCCTCGCTCCGAAGCAGGAGCGTGCTGGCCGTGCAGTGGTCGGCGTTCATCAGGCAGGGCTTTCCCCGCGCCTCGTTGCCATTCGTGTTACGCTTTGCCAAAGCTGATGCCTGTGATGGGGTTAAACCTCTGCACACCCCCTCCACCTCCCCTCGGCTGGGGTTCGGTAGCCGTGGTTCGCGTTGTCCTGTCCCGGCCTCATTCCCGGGTTCAGAGGAAGACAGGTCGTGATGCTGTTACAGCCACCCCTACCTGGTGTGTGCAGGTGTACCTAGTTAAAGACAGGGCAGCGTGTTCGTTTATGGGATGGTGTTTTTGGGTTCATTTTTTGTGGTCTCAACACCGTCCAGCCTGAGCTGCAAGTAGGCAAAGTGCAGACAACATGCGGCTGTTCCTCCCGTTTATCTTTCCCTGGAAATGAGTGCTGGTGGTGACAGGGTACCTCTGGCAAGGAAGCAAACCAGCCATGATGCTACAAGAGCTTGCTTTGAACAGGTGGGGGCAATCACGAGGTTTTTCGTCACCCACCCCGGATGTGGGTGAAGTTCCCGGGGAAGACCACCCAGGAAAAGATCTCCATCAGAGCTGACACACCCCTTGGGTAAAGGGGAGAACAGCGTAAGAAACTTCATTCCTGCGCTTAGTTTTGCAGCTTTCTGGTTTTTCTGCTTTATAATTCAGCAGTCATTTCCTCCTCCACCTGTTCCCCTCTGCCAGCACACACTATATGCACCACTTTTGCGGACCTGTTCAAACCGAATCTGTCGGGAAACACAGAAGACTTTCCAGAGGCATTAATCTGGTGGGTGATCTTCTCAGCTCCCTGCTCTCAGAAATTGTGCACACCCTGTAATTCCATTCACTGACTGGTGTGATCAGTCACTTAGAAGACAGAAGCTGTAAAGTCCTTACACTCTGATGTAGTGCAACTTCACCTCCTATTTGCGCTGCTGCAAAGGCTTCTCTAGACCGTTCAAGAACTGGGAAAGTTTGTTTCTTTCAATAGCTATGCCTAGCTAATTAAATAATTAATTCCTTTGTAGTTTTTTTATTTTTTTTTTCACTGACTGGACAAACTGTGCCCCTCCCAGCCCAAAGCTGGTTTCATGTTTAACAGCCATTTGAGTGTTTAATGGTCCTTTTCATAGATAACTATGCCTATTGTGTTCAGCTGAGCTGGCCCTGGCAAAAAAAAGTCTCCAGGTAGCAGCTTTTTTAATCACCAAATGAGAGTAGGGGATTGTTTGGTTTGTTTTTTTCTGAGGGGGGGTCTAAACAGATACTGGTAATATGTGGCACAAGTCTGTGGGTGGCTTATCATCAGTATTTTACAAACATATGTTAATTAAGCTACCTAGCTGCAATGAGATTAGCAAGCATTAACTTGCCAATCTTAAAATTCCTGTGAAGAGCTAGGCACACCTATGGGCCCTACAGATAAGTTTATTACCCATAGGATTGGAAGAGAAATGGGGAAAACCTCTTGCAGGGGTAGACACTCATGCTCTGACTTGCTGTGCTTGAGAACACTCCTAGCTGGGACAGGGGTTTGAGATGGTAAACACAACAACAGGCGTTGCCCATGGGAAGTTTTGACTGCTGTTCTCAATGGTCCCCAGTCTTGGAAAGAAGCCTGAACTGACCCAAGGCCCCACATCCTGGAGGGAGCCATCCCTTCACATTGCAAAGCCGGTACTGACAATTAATGGTTTGTCCAGGATGGGGTGTAATTTCTGCAGCTGTTACACTCATTGCAAATGGTGGGGAAGGAGAGAAAAGAAGTTCCTGCTTCTGCTATCCATTCCCTATGTGGATGTTCTTACTTCAAATTAATATTATTTGGCACCCTTTCTCCTAAATAGCTCATCCATACCACTGTGTGTGGGGGGGAGAGGGAGCATAACAGGCCTGAGTTACTGCATGAACTGTTCATGCCTTTAATTATGATTTGCCTGTATGTGGAGTTGTTCAGAAACAAGGTGGTACAGGTTTGCTGTATTTTAATTTTTAGAGATTCTGGTAACATTCCTGTTACGTTCCTGCTGGGAAGACAGAACCAAGGCAGGACCTGAAATCCTGCTCAGTAGAAGTTACTGTGGGGCTTAGTATGATGTAGCTCCAGCACAGTTCACCTCTATCAGGAACTTACATGTTAATGATGAGCATAAATACAATGTCAGCTCTTTTTTCTTTCTCTAACAAAGGGAAGCTGGTGTAAGCACTGTTGACAGAAGGAGCCTGACAGAGCAGATGTGTTGGTTGTTGTTGGCTGTACAAGCAGGGACTCAGCAGAGATTCAGCAGATGCAGTGGGGGATGTTTACTGTGGCATCACTTTCCCAAAAGCTATTTGTTCAAGGGCATTTTTCACAGGAAAGAGGTCTCTAGGGAGAATTATTCCCTCTTCCTTAGGGGGCTCCTGCGTGAGAGCCGCACCTTTTCCAAGCATCAAGTGAAGAAAGTCCTACAGTGTGATTCAGTATTTAGCTCCATTCACACCTGTATATGCCATCCCCAGCCCAGATGGGCTTATTGCTGTGATTCCCAGCACCTGGGAAATTAAAATTTAGACAACTCTATTCCCAGCATACTGTCAGTATGGCAACTCGGACCTGGTAAGCTGATGTTATGCAGAGGGACTAGAAAAACAGTAGTTTCCTCCATTGATAACCTTTAAAATGTTGAGAAGAATAACTCAGGCAGAAAAATTAATAGGTATTTCTAATGGTGTAAAAGATAGGTGTTTTGTCTTTCTCTCACTTTTCTGTAAGATCAGCATTAAAGCTACCCATAACATTCTTGGTTTTGTTATTACTCATCCTATAAATGTTCAGGCTTGTCTCTCACGTCAGTGGACCTTTTGTTTTTATGTAAAATCTATGCCTGGAAAGAAGGATTAGTTTTGTACCAAAAAAACAATGCATGCAAAGAGAGGGAATGGTCATTTTGCCTCCAAATCTTGAATACACTCCAGTCCCTTTCTGAGAAATATGAGCTGTTTATGTTTGAGCTCAGTAAATCATTCCTTGGGAAGCCAGCCCTGAGAGCAGACTTTTCACAGGGATTTGAGGAAAAGAAAAAAGGAAAATAGAATTCTTATTGTCTACACTATGCATCCTGGCTGAGGATGCAGGTCCTGATTCCTCTGCACATTCAGTCTTGCATTAGACACCTTCAGGTTAAGTGTTAAAGTTTTGTTTTCAGTGGGTTGTTTTTCAATCTATTTTCAGTGTTCTTCTTTATTTAAATGAGTCCTTACAGAGACAATGGAAGTTTCTCAATACAGAGGAAAAACTAGGTATTTGCTTTGGCATTCCTCAGGCTGCTAAAATAAGTCATTTTCATCCAGAGAAAGAGAACTCTCATAGGCATTTACTAAGGTCCTTCCAAAGTGCAGCAGCTAACCCAGAAAATTACAATTATTGGTAGTGCTTGGGCATGTACCTCCCTGTACTTTGGTCTCCCTATGGAGGCTTCTCCTCCATTATCTGTTATCAGTGCTCTCCTTTATTTTGCACCAGTGGGATGGGCCTTCCTTTCAGTTCCTAATATTTATTCAGTTGTCTGTCTACCATCTTGTTGTTTCCAGATTATTGCGGTGGTCATGGATGTATTTACGGACCGGGACATCTTCCGCGACATTGTTGATGCAGCATATAAGCGCTGGATCCCAGTCTACATCATCCTGGATGAGGAGGGTGTCAAGCTCTTCCTGGAAATGTGCAAATGCCTTGACCTCAGTGACTTGCAGATCCGGGTAAGGTGTTCAGTACTAAACCATTATCTCCTGCAGGTCAATGGCCTTTTGCAGTTGTAGTGAATCTTGGAACTTGCTTGGACCGGCAAACAACATCTCCTCCTGCCTGCAAGTCATACCACAACACTTAGAGTGGTGGAACACAGAGGGATAACAGCATGGTTTGATAATACAGAAGGAAAGAAAAAGGAAGGATTTGGATTTTTTTGCCTTTCACCCAAGACAGAGACCTGTGTAGTTTCCTGGCTCTTGTGACCACAAAATATTCCTGTTTGGGGAGAAAATTATCACAGAAAATTGCTATAGGTCTTCTGTGTGAGGATTCAAACTAGAGTCCCAAGTAGCTCTTTGAGTTGTCTGCATGGATTCCTCTTACAGGACACATATATTCTGTTGAAATCAAGACTTTCCTTCCCAGCAGGGGTTATCCAGGAGTGAATGAGCTTGTAGTCCTCCTCTAGGACGACTTAAAGGAGAATTTAAGGGATTGAGGACCACAGCTGCTGCCCAGTCCCATACCAGAGCGTGCCTTCATACAGTGCATGCAGCACAGCAGAGTAGTCAGTCTAGCTTGGCTGGCAGAAGCAGCCTCAGAGGGGTCTCACTCCATTGCAAACAGACTGAAGTCCTTTGTGTATTTCTTGTTAGTATTGTATTCCTTCCTTTTTCCCCATCTTTTTAGTCACTGTTGCTACTACAGACTTGTTCTAAATCCTGAAAAAAGTTGCTAGGTTGGAAACAACGTATGGGATGCCAGACTCATCCCTGTTTGTGATCCAATTGTTCTGTGCAGCGGCGGTGGAAAAAGTGCTTTTTGCCTGGAGGAGGGGTGGAGTTTCCTTAAACAGCCAATTAGTAGTTAAAAAAATCCCCAAAATACAACCAAAACTCAAAAAGCTCTGAAGATTACAGAGTCTCATATTAATCATTTTAGGAGAACCATCTTGAATCTGGATGAAAATTACCTGCATATATCTGAAGAGTTCTCCTGTGAGCTACCACTCTGCTCTGAGTTTCATCAAAAAAGACATCCAGCTGAGAAGTTTTCTAATTTTTCTCCAAAACAGTGGTGGAAGTTCTTTCCCTCTGATGTCTTTGAAAGCAAGACACAGAGCTCATTATAACAGACGTGTTTCAAGTGCCAGTGGTATTGTGTGTTCTAGGCTTGTGTCTCTTTGGTACATAACTGTGAAATCACAGCAGTAGTTCCATCTGCTCTGATACCAGTACTTTTCTTACCATGTCATCATGTACAGCAATGATGTCTTCAGCAGTACAATATTTTAACTCCTGGACAGAGTGAGTGAAAAGAGTCCTGGCATTTTAGAAAGAGTTGTGTTGCTACTGGAGAGGTGAGTTCCTTTCAGTCTGTCTTTTCTGTCTCTAAAGCGGTCCCCTTCTGCTCCCATGCTATGTTTTTCTTTAGACATCTTCAGCTAAAAATAGTGCAAGCTGAGTTGAAGCAAGTCCACTGAGAAGAAATTTTTAACATCTTTTGACCTAGTTGTTCACTATTCTGCAAAGCTTTAGCCCACAGATTGCTATCCTTCAAATTTTCCCCCTCTTTTCCCAGGTACCTCATACTGGATCTTAAATTCTCCTGAAGGTTGTTATAGGTTTTTTTTCCAGTACGGCTTAGGTGTTTTTTTCAGTCTTGCCAAGGTCAATGCAGTTACTTCCTGTATATGGTTCTGTGGAATGACCAGGGAGATTCTTCATGGAATGGGGAAGCAAGTCATTTGCCTCTCAAGAAAGATGTTCTCTTAGTATCTCACCCAGAGCTGCCTTGGATGTGCCTATGCTGCTGCTTGGGTCAGTGTAGCAGAAACCATCATGTAGGGATTTCCCTGGCAGCAGGCTTTGGATACCTGAGGAAGCTCCAGAAAGGTTAAGGTTTCTCCCTGAGGACTCCCCCCAGCCCTTCCTCTTTGATGTAATGTGCCAAGGGTTGAAGATCCAGATTTAAAGCAAGAAAGCAAGCTAGGCCTCCAGTCTTGTTCAGGCAGAATCATTTTGTCCCGCACTGTTTGATCACAGAAGATACTGAAATTGCTGAGGAAACTCTATCATTCACCCATTTCTTATCTACCGTCTTTCTCCTGACATCTGCTTTGATGTCTGAGTTTCTTCTACAGATTTTTAGCAACAGGGAAAATGTTATCTCCTTTTAGAATTACCATTTTCCTTTATTCTAGAAGATTTTTACCAGTTTTCACCAGACATAGTTTGCCAGCAAAGGAATTGCATAATCTTCTTTCCTGCCCTTCTGCCCACCTTTCCTTTGGAATGCTTGTGTGAGGTACAGAGGATGGCTTTTTTCCTCAGGAAGTTGCAGCCATGTGAAATATAACTCCAAGTTTTAGAGACAAATTCTGATCCCGGGGGAAGAGAGATGATGCACTACCATGAACTGCAGGGTCACAATGTTTATTCTGTCTTCTGTCACCACCAGATACTCATTTTGTTCTGTGATTTCTGCCCTTTTGGTCCCGTTGCCCTGTTCCTCCAATGCAAAGTGAATACTTCAACAGTCCTAATAGAGGGAGGTTTACTGTTAACACTGGGTTTTGCCCTTTGTCTATGTACAGTGATGGACATTTTCACAAAATTCCTGGCAATTGAATTACTTTTGTATGGCTGGCAAGGTATAATGATCTGCTGACAGTCTCATGGGAGGGAAACTGCTGTAGGAAAAGTAAAAGTTCTTAACCAACGCCAAGCATGAAATGAGAAAACATCAATTTTTGTCTGAAGGCCAGAGCTCGCCAGAATTGTATTTAAATTCAATCATCAGGACATTCATGGGTTGTTCATAAGAGCATGTCTTGTGTGTGTGAGTCATATGGCTTCCTGAGCCTACAGGACATGGTTTGTCAGACTTCTGTTGTGTTTGACACAAGAGTGTTCTACAGAGATCCCAGTGAATCAGAATTCTCATAGACACTAAATTCATAGCCCCTCAGAAATTCCTCTTTTTTCAGGACCTGAGGGTGAACGTTCTCACCAGATTTTAGATAAGTTTTTTGTCCTCATATTTCTGTAAACCCGGACCACAGTAACAGACACTTCTGCCCAAAGATAGAGAATTTTCCTAGAGTTCCAAGCAAGCCCAGGGAATGACTTATCTGCAGGAAGTTGACCTTCAAATTAATTTTTACATTCATTTTCCTAACATGTAAGAAGTTTCTCCTTTCACTTCAGAAAGTTTAAAAAGCTTCTGCCTAAGAAACTTTTAGAATTTCATTTCAGTATTTTATGGTTTTCATCATTGACTCCTACCTGAGATGAGGGAGGAGCGGATTGTGATGTGAAGCAGTTCTGTTGGTTTTTTAATGGTCTGCTTGAGTATTCTTCTAGACTACTTGTGACCTGAGAATGGGAGCTTGCAAGGCTCTCTTTTTGTAAAGACAGATAATACTCAGCAATGATCTTGGCAGGCCATGTCCCAGCTAGCTGCATTCCATCCTGTTCTACCTGAATACTTGCAAGTTACACAATTTTGTCAATAACTGTGCCTTTTCCAAGACTGCCCAGGGTAAACAGAGGATTTCCCAGTTCTAAGAGGGAAGGTACACATAGGATTCTCTGGAATCAGTGGAAGCAGTTACAACACCTCCCTTTAGGGTCTGTCTGGTGTATTCCCCCTACTCAGCCCCAGTTTCTAAGCACTACGGCCTAGGTCTGTCAAGTCAGTCACAGCATTACTGACTGTCTAAATTGGGTCTGATATAGCTTTCTGTAGATTCAGAGTGAGGTTTAAAAGTGTCACAATAGAGCAAGGAAGACCAATTCCTTACTGTTTGTATTAGGATGCTCTGTCAGACTTGACTGTTACCAGTCATATTGAGTGGTAGACAGGGAGATGTTAGTCACTGCTTGTGATAAGGAGTGGTGCAAGTCTGTGGAAAGGCAATATGGAAATTTAATGCAGACTGCATCTCCCATAAGCCAGGATATTGCAGAACAAACCTTAAGCAGGCTTCTGCAACAATACAGATCTGGAGGTGTCACATCTATGTGGTGAGCTAACTGGTCCTCTAATCAAAATATTTGTTACTACTGTAACTCTAGTACCCTCTGAAAATGCCTGCAATGTCATTTGATTTATATTTGTCTCTCCTCTTTTGTTATTGTGCAGTTTTTGTACGTGAACCCAGGCTTGTTTTTCCTCTGTAGCTTGACTTAGCAGTCTACAAATGTTCCAAGATCCTTCAAGGCAGAGAATTGTATACAAATAACCTGTTAAGTGACTTGATGTTTATATGACTTTGTGCTTGTTTTCTGCATTTCAAGATGTATTAATGCACTCCTGTACCTATTTTATTCAAGGAGGTTTTTGTGCTCAGCTGTTCAGTTCTATCCCCTCTGCACCATCCTAAGTGTTATATACAGCTCAGTTACTGCAGAAATTCAAGTGTGCCTTCTTTCCCCCAAAAGAAGGTGATAGAACATACAAACACAATAAGATCCACACTTGTTGTATGCTGGGAAACTTTCCGCTCACACGGGCTGATACTTCTTGATTCACAGGAGTACATATCACATCAGAGCTGTTGACTGATGTCTTGTGCAGTCAGCATGGCATGATTTGGCAAATCCCACATCCAACATTAATCAGCAAGGAAAAAAAAATATTTCAGGTGATCAGCCAGCCAAATTCAAATGTTATTTTAATTACTGGAAAGGGCACCATTTCTTCTGTGCTCTACCCAACCTGTCTTCAGCATCCCATACATATGACTCACTGCTAGGCCTTGGGCAAGCCACTTCATCTTTTTCTGTCTTAGGCTCCTCATCTTTAAAATGGGGTAATAATACTTTCAGCAGTGTTGGGAGCATTAATTAGCTAATGCCCACACAAGACTCCAGACAGATCAAGCAACAGCTGAATGCAAAACAGTGCTATCATCAGTTACTGTTAGTCAGAATTTGTATTTCCACTGCTGTATTCTAGTGGGGAAAATAGCAGCGGATTCAAAAGGCAGGAGTTACATTCAGAAAAACAGCTTTTGAAAGAAATCTGCATTCTTATAATCATTCCTGCATGCTGATTTCTATAACCTGTCAATATTTGAGCTGTTGGTGAGGTTTATATAATAGGACTTAGCTCTTTGTGGGATCTGAGGTGCTAGCATTAGCCAAATCCTCCTGATTCTTCTGCTCTGGAGATGGGGAAGAATGAAGCAAAGGCAAACTGACTTTCCCAGAACACCACAGGTAACAGTATCAGAACTGCAATTATGCCTGGGACTATCTGACTCCCATTTTTGACTCCAGTTCACAGTGCCTTTTAGCTTTCCATTCTTAAGGAATCCTTACATAAAAATATGGTGGAATGAAGAAAATTGTCTAGATTTGTGTGTCAGAGTGACAAGATAATTTGCTCCAAACTTATACTGACGTTCAATGTTTTTGGGTTGTGGGGAGGGCAGGGGGAGTGTTTCATGTCAGACACTTTGGCAGTTCAGCCTTGTGCTGCCAGGACTCATGAGCAGAGTAACACTCAGTCCAATGTGCAAATATATCCTTCTAATATGCACAGGCACATATCTATTGTTGAAAAGCATGTAACCTTAACTTTGTGGTTTTTCTGTGCCTGGTAGTTCTTTGTTTCATTACTTGTAGGTTTGCTGACAAAAGGGTGTGAGATGTGAGGTTTGGGGAGAAGTATTCTTTTTCTAACTATTTCCATTCATTTTATGAAAAGATTCTCCTTACTCGTCTTCAGAAATTCTTCTTCGCTGATCTATTCTGGACATTTGTAGAGACTTATCTGAAAGCATTGTCTTGCCAGTGGCTCAAGTGAATAGCTCAAGACAGCAGGCAGGGTTTTGATGATGCTGACCCCTTGGACAGCTGGAAACTGTCCAAGAATGGAGAGGAGTGACCTGCGTAGACTATGCTTTCCTTTTGCAGCCTTCTGGTGGCTGGTACAAAATGAGCTGTAGTCCCCGAAGTAGTGAGACAATGTGAGTGACATCTTAAGACTTGGAGCTGGCAATTATCTAATTTTCTGCCCTATTTATTGTGACATTTTGTCTTTTCACCTCCCTGTTAGAATGTCCGCATACGCTCTGTGACAGGAGTTGGGTTCTACATGCCATCAGGGAAGATCAGAGGCACGCTGGCATCCCGATTCCTGATGGTGGATGGTGAAAAGGTGGCCACTGGATCATACAGGTGGGTTACTCTTGTTTAAGGTGTTAAGGCATTTATTTAAAGAATGGTCATGACTTTGCTTGAAAGTCTTCTTCACATGTCACCCCCCTGCTATCCCCGCTTCTGTAATCTGTGTGGCATCTGTAGAAACTGGAGTGGGACAACAAAGAAGGTGGCATAGAGCCCTTCTTCAGGGTATGGAACATACCCATGCTGGCAGACCTTTTCAGAGAGCTAGAGACAGTTCCACACTGCATCTGGAAGGGGTCTACAAGGACTCCCCACCAGTCCCTGAACTCAGTTCTCTTCAGTGAGGTTTTCAGTCCGGAGACTCTTCCTGTTGATTTAAAAAGCAGTGCTGCTTTTTAAAAAGTATAAACTGTCCTTCACAGTTTCAGGGCCTTTTCTCCCAAATCTGATCTACATGTCTAAAGAAGAACAATAATGTTGTGTCATGTATCTATTGGGCCCCATCTGGCCAAGGATGGTAAATGGGGCATAATGCTACGTATTCCCCTGTAGTGTCTTAGGTTTTGTTAGGTGGGCTGGGTCAAGTATGCACCCCAAAATCTAATGTCAGTTCTGTTTCCTCCTCTTAGCTTCACATGGACTTCATCTCACATTGACAGAAACATCCTGCTAGTCTTGACAGGACAGCATGTGGAGATGTTTGACATTGAGTTTCGTGAGCTCTATGCCATCTCAGAGGAAGTTAATTTATACAAGGAACTGGGTATTGCTAACCCATTCCTCCTTGGAATTGGGAAGCCAGGCTTTCATTCCTCCACCGTGGCTCGGAAGTTCATTAACCCAAAGTATGGTTTAGTAGCAGGGGCAACCCGTGGTGATATGATGCTCTGGGCTTCACGGCACAGGCAAGACAATCAGGGAAACATGGAAAAGGAGGAAACAAGTGAGTCAAAGAAACGGTTAAATCAGTTCCTGAATGACTTAGTCACATTGGAGCAAGTGTTCCCAGAAATAGATCCACCTCTGGAGAACTTGAACAAGCTGAATCGGAGCCCTCAGAAACTGTTGTCCCGGCTCCACATGGACCTGAAAAACAAATCCAAATCCAGAGAGTCTATTCGTGACATAAAGAAGGAAGATGCACAGAGCAATGCAAAGCAAGGAAAACGGTTTGCCAGTGGGATTTTCAGTCGCAAGGCCAAGCGGTCTCCAGGCTCAAGCATCGAGGCCAATTCTTTTGCGAGTGAAGGACATTCAGGAGAAGACCTTGGCAACATGAAACTGGAATATGAGAGGCTCAGCATTGGCCATGCTAGTGTTCGGAGCACTGGAGGCAACTCAGGTAAAACCTTTTACCAGCATACTCTGCTTTCTGTGTCCCTTGTTCTGAGCTTGGCTGATTGATGCAAGCATACCCACTATAGGCACTTATGATTAGATCCTCTCATTTCCTCTGAACCAAAATGAGCAAGAACAAAGGGTAGAAGTTGTATCAAAAGATACATGCAATATAGGTTGAAAGCAATTTAATGGCAGTCTGACTGTAAGGTTAGTACTTCTCATGTGGATGTTTCTCGTACTTTTGAGCAGCAAAGGAAGAGAAAGGTGAACATTGCCTTGTGTAAAACAGTGCTCAGTCCATTAAGTGCATTTGCCTAATTAACAGCAGCACTGTGTTCTCTATTGTAGTGGCTAGCAGGCCACAGACAGATTTTCAGTGTAATCCCTCCTTTCCAGTGACAAATTCCTCGTGGAGAAGTGAGGAAAACGTGTTTATGTTGAGGTGAGGGGACAAGGAGTGGAGGAAAGGGTGCAAGTCTTTTTAATTTGTTCCTTTGCCTCCTTCTGAAATGGGAGAGAATTTCATGAAAATAGAAGCTACAAAGAAGTAGATCACTGGATCTCAACTTTTCTTTCTTTGCTAATGCATGATTGATATTTTCATTAAGTCCTTTGAAGGCTTCAGTCAGTTGAAGATAAAAATTATAAAGATTTCTAATGCATTATGGGTCCATAGCTAACTCTCCAGCATTTTACATGTTTTGTGAGATTGAAGTAAATCTTTGGACTATTTATCCTGGTTCTCTTCCTCTCATTGAGCTGTGTTGGGTGTCAATACATTCTGCGCCATCAGGAAAATAAACTAATTGCAAGGAGAACATTTCTTCTCCACTTGTCTGGCCAGAGACCATTCTGTGCTCTGATGAATGCAAAATGCACATGTAGAGAGACTGAATTCTTTTGCAGTTACCATGATGTGAAACGGAAAGACGTTCTCTTGGGACCAAGAAGAAAAGCAAGGTATTGGGACAGTCAACAACAATGATTAATTAGGTTCCTGGAAATATTTTTGGCTGAATGAAGGACAGACTCAAAAATGCCAAATGAACACAAGAAAGAGGAACTGTAAGAAGGGATGGCTAATTTATTTGAGACTGTAGTAGATCCATTTTAGAATCTGCATTTGGCATTTGGGGAGGCAGAAGTAAACCCTTGTCTAAAGAGGTCCTCTCTCCAAGTAAGTCTTGAGCACAGACATTATGTGCTTGTGGGCCCTATTCCTGAAAGCCAGGAAAAGCAAAATCAGTGAGGACCTGTGGGGAGATGTATGGGCATTTCCACTCGCAGGAATGGACCTGAGTGCTTGCACCACCCTCTAGTGACAGAAAGAGAGAATTGAGTCATCTCTGATTCATCATCACTTTGCAGTATCAGAGATTCTCACTGTCACCTGTTTCAAAGCAGCCAGCCTGGCCTTCCCACAACGTCCTGATGAAATCAGGCCCAGCTTAAGGCACGAGGGGTTGATGTCTTTGGCTGGACAGGGGGCACTGCACCCTGCTGGGGCATTGCACCATCCGGGCAGCAGGGGAGTCCCTGTTCCTCCTAACATGGTGGATCTGTGCCAGACAGTCTGATGCTTGGTCTAGACCATTTCCACAAATACATTAGCATGCAATTATGTTCAGGTTTTATTTATTGCCACTGTTACTTCCTGCAGACTGACAACTCTTTCAATAAGAGGGAAGGAAGAACTGAGAACAGGGCCAGGGAAGGTGCTGAGGTCCAGCACACCAGTCTTCCCCCTGTGCTTTTTCTGACCTGATAAATCTTTCCAGTGAGTCCTTGCTAGTATTTTTGGTTTATGCAAATTGAGAATGCCTGTTCATGGTGCCAGTGGGAGACTCCATAGCTTTTGAAGTATGGTGTAAGTAGACTTTGTCCATCTGGTGTCATCAAAGGCTGAAGGAAGATCATGGGTTGTGTTTTACTTTTGAATTAAATCAGTCTCTTGTGAGAGAAAACTTCTCTAGTCTAATAGTCCCAAAGCGGCATGTGAACAGAGGTGGTAGAGGGCACATTAGATAGATGGAGACTCATGAGGAACAGAAAAGGATTTAATAAAAAATTCTTAAACACAGCCATGGAATAGAGTTCCAGCCTCAGTATAAAGATAGGAGGCACTTTGTTCTTGGGTAACTTTAGGGCTGACTTAGCTTGAAAAGTTTTAAGTTGTCTTTGAGCAAAGCTAGTAAAAACTGGTGCTGTGATACTCTGCGTGACAGAAGGGAGGTAAGAAGTGGAAATGAAAGAGAGGGTACTTGGTATTCTGGCAGCTTAGGATGCAATTATTCAGAGCTTCACGGTTTGAAATAGCTGCCCTTAGCTTTTGTAAAGATTAAACAGCACACTTAAGCCCCATGGGCCTGCCTGTGCACACATCCTCCAAAGTCACCATTAATTCTCTAGCACCAGAGACACATCCCACCTTGCAAATGCATGGAGAGACCAGATCCACACCCAACTAGCTCATAGAGTAGTTGAAAGACATTATTCAAGCAGGCTAAAAGTCAGATTCAGTCTTGCAGGAGCAAATGGTGATGAAGAGAATTTGAACTGGGAAGGGAAATGATGGAAGTGTGTGCTGTGATGGAGTCTGAAAATCTGATGCAGTTTTTACAGGCTAGAAAAGGATTCCTACAAGTGAGAATTGGGAGTCTGCACAGTACAAGGGCTACAGATAGAAAGTAATGTCCCAAACTAAGTATCCGAATTAACACCCTGAGGTGTTGTCCTAGCACATGGCAGGTTGTACATTGTCTTACAAGGCTTTCTCAAACCACATCATGAAATTAACAGAACCCTTGGATTTCACTGTTGCCCTCTGAGGGACACAAGAGCAGCTCTGAACCTGACCAGAATCTTGTTAATTTTAAGCTGGTGCTGGGCAGACTGTGGTCAGCAAAGACAGCGACTTCTGTGTGCAGTTTCTGGGAAGCACTGCAAAAGTCTGAAAGCTGTGTGCCTTCAGAAGGCACAGACTTTTTGGTTAGTGTTCTCCTTTGGAAGAAGCAAAGTGGGCTTGTTCAGAAGGGTCTGCTGACCTCAGGTGCTCCGTGCATCGACTTCATTCCTCATGAGCGGTGGTTGCAGGATACATAAACACATACACTTAGTAGAAGGATTTTGTGTTTCAGTTTTGTATGCTTCTTGCAACAAAAAATGGGATTTACTCTGGGCACTGCAATGGCATTAAAATAGCTGCTTAGTTATCACCAGCATTTTGCAGCCAAAGTGAGATCATGGAAGGGTGGTAATTGGAATTTTCAGCCTCTTTTCTAAAGAGAAAGAGGGAAACATTGTTGAGTACATACAAGGAGGATGTTTGCTCTAACTGTAGTGGGATATGTAGAAAAAGGTCAGAAGACAGGAGCAGAAAGTGACAAAAATGAAAGGGTTGGGAGTTGAAATTAAGCAGAGAAGCACAGACATCTTTCCCCGCTGCCCTGGGCCAGAGTCACCAAAGCTTTACTGAGCTCAGATGAGCTCCTCTACTTGAAAAAGCTTCTGAACATGCTTTTGTACAGTGCTTGAAACAGATATGCTGGGGCATCCAGATCAGCATCTGGCTGTAATGATGGACACCAGGCAGAAGTGTAAGTGTTGAAAGGTACAGATACTGGGAGCAGAAGAAATTCATATAGTAAGCAGTGAAAAAAATTAGGATTATAAAAAACTGGAGGCAGCATACTCTGCTACTTTAGTGAGAGACCTTGAGGCCTTGGGATTGGTCTTGCAAAGGCAGTGGTGGAAACACTGGCACTAGAGATGTTTGAAAGAAAACACGAAAAAAAACCTCTACTGAGAATGTGTGTGGGTATCAAATGAATGAGATGACCTTGGGTTTTCGGAGTTTTTTTCCATACCTCACTCTTTGGAAAACTTCCCACCCAAGACATGACCAGACTATTTATCAGTGCCAGCTGGGACCTAATGAAGCTGGACTGGGTACAAGCCAAAGCCTAGAAACACTTCTGCAGTGGTTTTCTCTACAATATACTCTGCATTTGCTCTTATTTTAATGTTTCTTCATTTCACTGCAGCAGAAAAAAAGCCATGAGAGAGTGCAGAATAATGTAGGTGTAACACAAGGTGTATAGTAAAAAATGAGAGTGAAGCATGAGTCTGAACTTCATCCAGGGCTTATTTACTTAACATTAACACTACTTTAACTTCTTTTCCTTCCAGGTAACCTGAATCCAAACTCCACTATGAGCGACAAAAACAAACAATCTACCTGTGTGTTATCTTGATTGGGAAGGATTGTCTGGAGAACTAAAGACTGAATCTCAAGCTGGAACAGTAACTTCTTGATTGATGTTGAACCTGCAGCCACATCCTCATGCAGTGATCTGTAAAGCCACTGCAGACCCTGGATGCATCTGGCACCCCCAGATAAAGCACATTTACTGGGTGATGAGCAGACTTTGGGTAGTCGGTCCCTTAAATGAGGGTTAGTGATGAATGTATTAGTCCATATGTCTATGTGCACACATATTTTGTATATAAAAACAACTGTGATGACTGGTCTCAGAGCTCACTCTGTGCCCAGAGAAATGCAGGAGATTATCTGACTTACTTGTGCTGCTACTTCGGTCTGTCTAGCTGCAGACTTGGAATCACTGTGTTGCATTGTTTACTCTACTGCACTAAAAATTATTGATCTGACTGGCTGTAAGGCTGAATCCAACTGAAGTGGCAAATACTGTGTGAAGTAGGGATGTTTACAGACAGTGGAGCAATCCTTTGTCCATAAGGAGTCTTCCTGTAGATTCCTGTTGTCACTTGCCCAGGCAGAAATGAGTGGTGTGGGAGAAGGATTTAGCTAACAGTAGCCTACAGAGCAGTATCAGAACTGTTTCACCTCATAAATGTAGCAGTCGAACAAAGTGATTTAGCAAGAATGTGGCAAAGAGGAAAAATGGAATATAGGGCAATGTTTAACGTGCACTTGAGACTGGGTCAGGAGAAATGCCTGACAAGGGGCCTGGGCAGAATCTGGGAGCAATAACACAGACTTCAGTGGCTGTGATGAAATCCTCATAGTTGCAAATTCAGCAGTATTTTTACCATTCATGGAAACTGAATGATTAAGGAGCACAACTTTGAAGGTTGAAAGAGGAAGCAGTGGAGGCATGCAAGATTTTCAAATGTCCTTTTCTTTTTTTTTTTTTTTTTTTTAAAGTTAACCTTTCCAGAATCTAAATCATGCTAAAATTGAGAGCTTTGATCCATAAGAAGCATTGTGTTCAATCAGACCAAAGGCCATCTGATCTGCTGTTCTGCCTCTGAGAATAGCCTGTAACAGGTGATCACAGAAGCATAAAATACAAGGCTTGTATATACAGAGGTCTTTCTCTGACACCATCCCAGCAGTCTATGGACTTTCTCAGCTTTCTGGCAGTTCCTTCTGGACCTGGTCTTAATGAATGCACTTAGTCCCTTTCTAAAAATCCTTTTTTACTTTTGGCCTCCAAAGTGTTCTGTGGTAACAAACCCTAAATTCAATGCATGGTACAAAAAAGAACTGTTGTCAGGCTGTTTTAATGGTTTCCTTGATGATTACCTCCTAGCTGCTGTGGGATCTGACTAGCATTTCTGTCCTCTTGTTCACTATCCTTTTTCTAGTTCTGCTCACTAACAGAGTGGATAAACAGATTGTTTTTGTCTCTACAGTGGGCAGATTGACATTTCACTCTGCTTTCTTGCCATTTAAATTACATATCCTGCTGTCATAAGTAAATCCTCTTGTGATACCTAAAAAAATTAGATCCTAGTTATTAGAAGAGACCTGAAAACTAACATGCTTACTTCCAAAAAAAAAAAAAAATTAAATAGCAGAAAACCACAGGTTTAGTTTTGTTGCTTTTTGTTTAGCAAAACCGTCTGGGTTTTTAGCTGCACAACAAATTCACAGCAAAGGCAATTGATGCACTCCCAACACAGAAGCAGCTGATCGAAAGACTCTTTCGGGTGCTGGGTTGCAGTAGAGGTTGTTACACTCAAACAGCTGTCTGTAGTTGATGATAAAATGCAACTGATTGATTCACTGATTTATTAATTGCCTTTCCTTGAAGTATATTTAATTTGAATAGCAAGCAGTTTTACTGTTTTACTCTATTTACTCTGCAGAATCTCTTGAGATGTTAAAATACCATAGGTATTGTGCCCTCTGTTAAACATACTCCTCCTCATTCCATGGGTTAAATGCTTGCTAGTCGATATAATACATTCTATATAGCCTTATGGGAATGAGCTGTAGTTTTACAGCTGGGTCTGTCAGCTCATATCATGAGCAGTGTTTCATAAAATTGTTCCTGTTAATGGGGAAAAAAAGAGGTGTTGGAAATGACACCACCCCTTGGATGTAGAAGTGACGTGATAGCTGAGCTATCCTGTTGGCTTCATGTGTGTAGCTCATGTGTCTAAAGCTACTCGCTGTCTTTGCAGGATACCTGAAAGTGGTTTGATTTTGCTGTACTTTGGTTACCACTCTGCAGACATTTGGGAGGCTTTTTTTCTCTCTTTGTATTTATTTCACTTTGTTAGCAAAGATCAGATATAAATTTATTAGGGTGATGTTGTTCCACTTTTTGTTCTGAAAAGAACAGTATCATCTGGTGCTTCCTTTTCCTCCCAGGCTTTTAAAATATTTATTTTTTTAATTGTGCAATAGGTTAATTAACTAATTAGCACCATGTTGATATATATGGTCAGGTTTTCCAGGAAGTCCTTTATCTCCTTGTTGCTTCATCTTGGGTGACTTCACAAATAGTCCAAGAGGCTGATTTCACTTGTCTTTCCTTTCCTTCTGCGCTTACGCATTAGCGTGCTTTACTTTCTCTTCCCTATGGTGGATGTCAGAGCTCTTTTCTGTAACCTGTCAACTAACAGGATATCCTTTCCAGAGAAAGTCTCTCATCTGCTTGTCTTCTTTGTTGCCACACCAGTTCCTGAAAGGTAATGTTCACTTGTTTTCAAATTCTTTCCATGGAAGTCAGTCTCATGCCTTGACTCCAGGGGCTAGTAGAATTCCTTAGGCTTATCACGCGCTGCTTAATTACTTAATTTGAGAGAACAAACTTGTTTTTTGCATGATATAAATCTGCTCCTTAAACTCAGCATGACTGTGAGGACTCACACAGCCTTGTTGTTCCACAGTGGAGGTTTCAGGCTCTGGTGGAACTAGTTCTTCCCTGAAGATAAAATCTGCTGAACTTGGGCTATTTACCTGCTCCTATGGCAACAGAAGAGAGTCTGTGTGAGGTGAACACATTTATTTTGACTAGTTTTTGCTAATTGTGATTCTTGATGAGTGCTATAAACCTGGGGCTGTGACCTGTAAAATGAACCTCTCTTGCTCTCCAGATAAAATGTGGTTGATGGTATTGGGGGTCACAGAGGCAAAGAGCAGTGCTTAGGAATTGTGTTGGAAGTCAGCCAGCAGAGGTTGAAGGTAGAGCAGTCTTCAAATAAGCTGTCATTTGGTGCTTGCCCAAGATACCCCCTCTTGTAATCAAGTCACCAACCTCCTGAGGGGGTGGGAAAGATGGGAATTGTTGTTCTGTTGCTACTCAAAAGAGCCACATTAGCTCTCTTTGGCATCTGTCTCCTGACCCTGTACAATCCCAAGAGGACGCCTGTCCTCTGGATATCTTTCCCTCTTTGGCTGGTCTGTGTGGAGCGCCATGGGGCCTACAGCTGTGGTCCTGGTTTTGGACAGAAAGTAATGAAGCTGGGGCTCATGGCTCTCTCTTTCTGGCCTGCAATGGTGAGTGGTTCAGAAAGAGCCACTTGGCTGAATGTGTGCCTTCTGTGTTTCTTTTGGTATGCATTTGTATATTTAATGTATATGTGTCCAGTTAATTATGTGGGAGACCTTTTCTAAGTCAAACAAATAAACTCTATACTGTGTTACATTTAGATACTGTGTTCATGGTGTCACATGTAATTTCTCTGCTACAGTTCCTGGATTGGGGGCATTTTTCTCATTTATTTGTCAAGAACCTATACTGTCTGCATTAAAGCAGGTTTCTGTGTAAGTGGTGAACTTCTTTGATCAATGTTTGGTGGTATATGTTAAAAGAAATGCGGGCAGCTAAATTCTCCACAAGTTCAGTGTTTTGTGGCCTTGAGTACCTTAAGAGAGACTAATTCATTCCTGCTTTCTTGCTGCTGGAGTAGGCTGCAGCAGATGTCCACTTTAGTTGTTTGGGGTTTTTTTTTGTTGTTGTTGTTTGTTTGTGTTTTGTTTTGTTTTGTTTTTTTTTTAATTACTTTGCAGCTGAAATGTATCTTGCTGCAGCTATAAATGCATCTGATAAAGTGCCACCTCGGTTTTCCTTTCCATCTTTCTTATATAATTTGTACCCATCAGCAATGACATTTAATTTATGAAACGGAGTTCCTGTGCTACATTTCAGTTTTACCTGGTACAATGTAATCCTTGACATTTAAGTAACTCACAAGTTTTTTTTTTGTTGTTGTTGTTTGTTTGTGTTTTGTTTTGTTTTGTTTTTTTAATTACTTTGCAGATGAAATGTATCTTGCTGCAGCTATAAATGCATCTGATAAAGTGCCACCTCGGTTTTCCTTTCCATCTTTCTTACATAATTTGTACCCATCAGCAATGACATTTAATTTATGAAACGGAGTTCCTGTGCTACATTTCAGTTTTACCTGGTACAATGTAATCCTTGACATTTAAGTAACTCACAAGCTCTTGTTTCCCATGGTCCTTTTGTTTGCGTGTACAAAAGCCCGTTTTAAAATTCCTGAGCATGTTTCAGAATAAATCCAGCCTCTATTTTACTTTTGGGCATTAGAGTACATTAAAAAGTATATGCAGTAAACAAAATCTTCATCTTTCAGTGTTTTAAATCCGTGTAGCAATTGCATTTGTACTGTTTAAGAGGAGTCTGTCTAATCCAAGCTTGTTTCACAGGGTATCTCAGGGCTCTGCAGATGCTGAGCTTCTTTCTTGATAGCAATAGCACCACCATGACTTTCTGCCTTTTCTTTTTCTGTTTTGGGGAGGTTCTCCAAGAAAGAAAGATAAGACTGTCCTTCCCCTCATTTCTCTGCTACTTTAATACTATACTTTTGTTGCTTGACACTTTTGTCTGTGCTCTTGCAAAAGCAGGGAGCAGTCCAGGACTGAATGACCTCTTTGTGTCTCTAGAACTTATGTCCCCTGTCCTTAGCCTGCTGAAGAAATGCAAATTTGGAAATCCTCGTTAATAAGCAAGGCGTT